GAAGTGCTCTATAGATGTCTATAAGGCCAAGTTGGTGGATTGTATTGTTTAGCTCTTCTGCATCTTTGTTGAGTTTCTTTCCAGTTGTTCTATGGATGATGTTCTTGATGTCATCCCACAGTTTCTCTGGTTTTTAGTCAAAGGTGTTCAGTGCATCGAATCTATTCTTTAAATGATATCTAAATTCAGGAGGGTTATATTCAAGGTTATATTTTGGCTCTCATGGACTTGTCTTCAGCTTCAACTTGAACTTGCATTTGCATATGAGCAGTTGATGATCTGTTCCACAGTCAGCTCCTGGACATGTTTTGTCTGAAGATACTGAGCTTTTCCATAGCCTCTTTCCACAGATGTAGCTGATCTGATTCATGTGTATTCCATCTGGCAAAGTCAACGTGTATAGCCACTGTTTATGTTGTTGAAGAAAGGTATTTGTAATCGATAAGTAATTGGTCTTGAAAAATTCTGTCATGTGATCTCCAGAGTTATTTCTATCACCAACCATATTCTCCAACTACTGGTGTTTCCATCTTTTGCATTTGAATCACCAGTGATAATTAACACATCTTGATTACATGTTTAATCAATTTCAGACTGCAGAAGTTGGTAAAAATCTTCAATTTCCTCATCTTTGGCTTTGGTGGTTGATGTATAAATTTGAATAATAGTAGAATTAACTAGTCTTCCTTGGAGGCATATGGATAATATCCTGTCACTGACAGCATGTATTTCAGGATAGATCTGGAAATGTTCTTTGAGGAAATGAAATGGTGCAGGCTGCTAACCAGAAGGCTGGCGGTTCAAACCCACCAGCCACTCCTCGGAAGGAAGGTTGGGCAATCCTACTTCCGTAGTGATACTGCCTCGGAAACCCAAGGAGGGGTCGCTATGAGCCGGGGCCGACTCGACGGCACATAACAACAACAACAACAACAAGCTAATGGAGGTTCTGGAAGCTTTATGCCATCTACATCATTAAGATTGGCTCTACTCTGAGGAGGCAGCTCTTCCCCAGTCAGATTTTGAGTGCCTTCTGGTATCAGGGGCTCATCTTCTGGCACTATATTGGACAGTGTTTCAGGGTTATCCATAAAGTCTTATAGCATAAATACAAATACATATGAAGAATTATTGTCTGCTAAACTTATGTATGGCATGTGTATATTCCCTTTTGCCTAGACATACTTGATCATTCAGCCTGCCTACCTATGTATTCACCCATAGACTAATGTTTGTCATTACTGATAATGCAGTATTATGGGTGCAAAAGTGTTTATTTTTGTTGTCTGTACCTCTTGTGCTCCTCTCTGTGTCTTTCTTTTCCTTAGTGCTACTGTGTTGGTAACTTGCTTTTGGTATATTGCCTTTTCTTTCACCCGAATCAATACTTTCCTCTTACATATATAGCAATTTTTAAAGATTCCTTTTGCAGAAGAGTTGCGAAATATAATACACTGTTTGATTTATTAACTGCTACTTTCATGGGTGTTGATTATGGGTCAAAGTAAAATGAAATCCTTGACAACTTCAACATAGTTTCCACTTATCCTAATGTTGCTTATTGGTTCAGTTGTAAGGATTTTTGTTTTCTTTATGTTAGCTATTTTGAACCTGAGTTTCATTTTCTGTACAATAAATAATATATCTGTTTCCTAAGACTGATGTAACAGATTACCACAAAGTTTATGGCTTAAAAAAGTACATTTATTCACTCAGTTCTGGAGGCCAGAAGTCCAAAATCAGTTTCATTGGGCAGAAATCAAGACGTCATCAGGGCTGTACTCTCTCTAAAGCTCCCGGGGGAGAATATGTTCCTTGCCTCTTCAGTTCTGGTAGCTGCCAGCTTTCTTGGACTTGTGGATGCCTCACTCTAATTTGTGCATATGTGGTCACATTGTCTTCTCCTATCTGAGTCAGGTCTCCCTCAGCTTTTCTCTTAGTAAGTACTTGCCATTGCATTTGGGGTCCACCTGGGAAATCCAGGTGATTAGCAAGATCCTTAACTTAATCACATGTGTACAGTCTTTGCCCTGTAAGGTAACATTTATATATCCCAGGGATTAGGACCTGACATCTTTGGTGGACTCTTTCAATCTACTACAGTCTTTTAAGAATGAAAATGTCTCAGATTAGAACGTGCAAAGATGTAACTTCCTTTGTTTCTATAACTTTATTTCTGTCATTGCTAACTCTTCGTATGCTGCCTGATTAACAGCAACCCATTTTATCTCCATTACTTCTTTGCTTTCTGGATTATTCTCAGTATTATTGGGGTAAATAATCCAGTCAGTTGCTGTAAGTGAGTTAAATTCAGATTTTAAATGTTCTTAGTTGAAGATCCAGGCCTCCGGCACTCTGGTGGGGCATCTAAGTTCTAAGAGGGGTATTCATCTATCTTTTGTCCAACTCTTACCTTCCTGTTGAGGAAACTCTTATTCCTCTGCAAGCTCATTGCCTGTACTGGAAAGCCCCTTCAGCTCATGATCTTCTTTTAATCCTTCCATGATCCTTTTGGAGACAGTACTGCAGTGTTCTCTCCCAATCCTGGGGTACTATTGCTGAAGGGGCAGGGAGGACACATCTCCTGACCTCCTCTAACTGCACAAGAGGAAGACAGAATCACTATCAGTAACCCAAGGCCATTCCTGCAAGGCCAGATATGCTGCCTCCCTCCAGCCCTTTCACCAACTGTTCCTCCCAAAGCACCCACCACCTCTCTCCTGGATTTGATAATTTGCTGCAGTGGCCACACAGAACTCACAGATTACAGGGTTTATTAGGGAAGCACCAGGCTACAATTCAAGTTTAGGAAAAATGCTTAGTCTCTCTTCCCACCCACAGTCTCTCAGCCAACAGCCTCTCACTCTCACAGTCTCTCTCCCAGCAGTGTGTGTCCCTCGCTGTGTCACTCAGCAATGCATGTCTCTTACATCTCTTTCCCAGTAGTGCATGTCTCTAAGGAGCACGTGTCTCTTTCAGCAGCACGTCTTCCTCAACTAGCAGTCAAAGAGACTTCTGCCTCTAGGAGGCTTCCTTTTGAGCCCGGCAGAATGGCCACACCAACTAATCATAATTTCAGAATTCTAAGCACCTGAGAGAGAGCAGGAACCTCCCAGAACATTGCTCTGTTCCACTCCCAACAGAAATACCCCAGATGGACAACTTTAGCAATCAGTAGTTCCTCAGTTGCTCATGGCAAATTCCACCTCAGAGTTTACAAAGGCTTGTAGGTAGAAAAGCCACACTAAGTAATTTACTACACCACAACTATGTGTCCATCTGCTTCACATTATACTCCATTATTGTGTCTCCACCGTGTAATATGCAAGGCTTGCATCTGAGGTCAGAGGTCTTCTAAGGCTGCACTGTAGTTTGAGCTACACACTCCCACTTAAAACGTATCTGTTTTTATTATTATTATTACCATCAACTCCCTACCTAAAGGCATTCTGGTTTTATAAATGGAGAGGGTATGAGACACTTGGAACCTATACCAGCCACTTACTATCTAATTCCCTTTCAGTGTCCACTTCCTCCTCCCACTAAACCCTTAATTGTAGCTCCTTTCTTAGAGTACAGGAGGTGGGTGTCTGTATCAGCCAATAGAGATTTGGTTGTGCATGATTCTACCCAAGCAGTTACATCTGGAAAAAATTCATACAGTCTGGTATAGTAGCCAATAGCCAAGAATATACCTGTTTGTAATTTTTTTTTCTCTTTGTATCATGCATCCTGAGAACAAAGTATATGTTGCATCTTTAGTGATGGAGGAGAGGAAATGAGTACAAAGAAACACAGGTTGCAAAACACACATGCACTTTGGTTACTATCTTGAAACTTTTTCTCTCTGAATTGCAAAGAATATAGATACATTGCTTAGCACATAGTAGGCTTACTACTGTGTACCTGCCTTTCAGAAGCTTGAAAACACCACAGGTTTAAGGGAGGAGTAGGTAGAAGAATAAAAAGGTTGTTAGGGATGCACTCACCATCTCTGTTACCACTTTATCTTCTCCCATCTCATGCTTCCTGCAGACTTCCTACCACAGTTAATAGCATCTCATTCCTTCTGAGTGCTTAGGCTGAGAATGTTGGTGTCTTCCTGGTTCTTCTGTATTTTTCACTCCATTTCCACTTTATCAGTAAATCTTATTGACACTGCATTAAAATATATATCCAAAATCTGTTTTCTTCATATCATGTCTACTACTTCCAGGCTAATCCGAGCCTCATAATCTCTCTCTTAGTTAATTGCAATAGCCCAATAAATGGTCTCCCTGCTTTTACCTCAGCCTTTTAAAATAATTTTTCCAATCAACAATCAGAGTGACTAAATAAAAACATAAGTCAATTCATGTCCTTATCGGCTTAAAATGACTTCTCATCTACCTTCTCAAGTACCTTAGAAAAGCCAAGGTACTTGCTATGGACTATAGGGCATATATATAATCCCTCAGCTCATTACCATTACTTGTCTAACCTCTTCACCTGGTCCTCTCTGCTTTGCTGACTCTGCTTCAGCCACATTGATGTCCTTGCTATACTACATACATGCTAGGCTGGCTTTTGCTTCAAAGGCTTGATTTTTGTTTTTCCTCTAGATATCTGCTTAACTTATGCTCTCTTCTCCTTTGAGTCATTGTTCAACTGTGACCTTCATAATGAGCCCTTCCCTGACAGACTGATGAAAATTGATTTATTTTCCTTGTGCCCTTAGCACTCTCTCCCTCTTCCTGACTTTCTGTTTTCTTTTTTGTAGTGTTTCTTGCCACCTTTTAGGGTTTACATTTTATTTACAGTCTAAATCTTCCATCAGAAAGTAAGTTCCACAAGGGCAATGAGTTTTGACTGTCTTGCCCACTACAAAATTCCCAGCCCCTAGTTGAGTGTCAGGAATTTCTGGATGGCACAAATAGTTAAGTGCTTGACTACTAGCTAAAAGGTTGGTGTTTGAACCTACCCAGGGATGCCTTAGAAGACAAGCCTGGTGACCTGTTTCCAAAAGTTCACAGCCTTGAAAACCCTGTGGAGCAGTTCTGATATGCTTCTCAGAATTGCCATGAATTGGAATCCAGTCAGTGGCAACTAATAACAACTGATGAGTATCTGCCATATTGTAGGCTTTCTACAAATATTTGTTTAATGGGTAAATGGAAAAATAATTTGTAACTACAAGACTGTAAGTTTGGATTTATCTCATAATAAATAGGAAATAAATAAGCTTTTTGAGCAAGGGCCACATTGATACAAAACTTTTAGGAGATTTACTATGCTGTGCATGTCCAGGATGGATTAGAAGAATGAGAAACTAGAGTCTTGAAGATTGGTTAAGAGCCTGTATATGAGGAAAGGTAAAGATCTATCTAAATTGGGTGGTGGGTAGTGGAAAGTGGGGTTAGCTGTGTGAGAGACACTAAGAGGAAGAACCACTCAGTATAACAATCACTCAGATATGGGGCAATTTGGACTTGGAACAGAGGTAGAGAAAGATGCAGAGGTGAGTTTTAATTCTACATTTATTTGAGAGAATATCATAAAAATGACATTAACAGTAAGAGAATTAGGAAAATTTAGGAAGAAAAAGAAATTTGAAAGGGAAAGAAAGATGTAGCTGGACTGGAATTTGATATTTCAGCTGGAGTGAATTAATTTAGAGAAGGGAAAAAGAAAAGAGTTGAGCCAAGGATTGAGTCTTACTAGGGAGAAGGGGCTAGGGGAGCCTGTTATTGAGACTGAAAAGGAGCGACCTGAGATAGGAACAGAGTGTTGATATACACTTAGCTCAACCTCATCCATATTCATTGAGCACTCTTACAAGAACTTCCTTTTAGATGAATAAGCTTCTATTTAAGTATGACATTACTCTCAAGGGTTCTGGTGTTGTAGGTCACAGATCACTACTGAGTATTGAATTTCTGAGACACAGATACTTTTCAAAAAGGTCCTAGAAGCATCTGAAAAGGTAGAGAATATCTGTATTCCTAAAAAAGGCAGGGGGTTTCTCTATTCCTTATTTGGCTCTATTCTGTTTCCTGATTTGTATTAGTAATCTTATAATCTTTTTTCAAGCTTTTATTGAAGTATAACATACATTAAGAAATATGAACCAACCATATATGGATAAGTTGATGAAATATCAGATGTTGCATATATCTGAGCAACCAACAAGCAATGAAAAAGCAGAACATTACTCACACCCTGGTGCGCTCCCTAGGCCCCCACTCACCCACTATTGCCATTATCCTGATTTCTAACACTGTAGACTAGTATTACCTGTTTCAAGCTTGAACCAATGGAATCATGTAGTATGTACCCATTTTGTCTTATTTCTTTCATTTAATATGTTTATGAAATTCATCCATATTGTTGTAGTATATATTCCACTGTATGGCTATTATGCTAATTATTTATTCACGCTTAAAATTGCTATTTGGGAAATAACCAATTTGGGATTATTATAAATAGTATGGTATAATATCATAATTTCTTATTAAAATAGGAATTTTGCATATTATGTTACTCTTTTTAAAGCTGCTGTTGCTTACTTCTCTTAAATGACTTTACAATGCCTTTACATCCTACCTATTAGTTTCACTATTAATACTGAATGTATTAATATTAGTTTTCAAAATACAGAGTACCACAAGAAATTAAGCTTCTTATAAATTTATATAATACCTCCTTTTTTAGTATATATTCAATGTTTAACATTTTTTTCAACTATCCCAATTATGTATCTTAAATTCATATTAAACCTGACAAAATTCTCTATATTTATAGGGAAGAGTTGTTCCATCTTGAAGTCGTGTTGTAATTTTGGCAGCATGATGAGGTGGAGAAAAAAATAACTGCCATATTCTTAATGTAGATTTATTATCATACTTATCATTTATGAAGCAATAAAGAGAGACTAAACACTAGCAAATGAGCCCTGGTGGTGCAGTGGTTAAGTACTCAGCTACTAATAGAAAGGCTAGTAGTTAGAAACCATCCCGTGGCTCTGTGGGAGAAAGACCCGGGAATCTGCTCCCATAAAGATTATAGCTTAGGAAACACTAGGGGCCAGTTCTGCTCGTTCACATGGGCTGCTATGAGTTGAAATCCACTCAGTGACACCTGACAACAGCAGTTAGCAAACAGTACATTGTAATATTTTATGTCAGGCCTCTTTACTAGGTTACAGTCTGCTTGGTATAAAAATGCACATTACTGATAACAAACTGATGAGAAATTTCACCAATCCCTCTATTGCAGAGTTGAATTGATATTGCTACATTTACTAAGGATACATACATAATATTTCTATGTGTGTGTATGGGTGTGTGTAAATAGTTACATACACACGTCTATATCTGTCTATCTAGAATTGAGTTGATAGTGCTACATTTAGTAAGGATACATATATAATATTTTTTGTGTATGCATGTGTGTGTGTGTGTGTAATACATACATACACATTAATCTATCTATCTGTCTGTCTACCTATCATGGCATGTTCATTATACATTCTTTACAGAAAGAACAATAGAAGACCATGAACTGGTGATGGAAGTGCTATCTAATTGGGGAATGGAAGAAGAGAATAAGCTATACTTTAGAAAAAATTATGCCAAATATGAATTCTTTAAAAATCCAATGGTAAGTGAAATAGCCATTAACGATTAGTGGGAAAAAAAAATCAATCAGTTAAATTTCCTTCAATTTTATGCTAAGAAGAGAGTTATTATAAATAAAATACAATTCTCTGTTTTGTAAATTATTGATAAGAATTTTGGTTATTTAAATTGTAGTCACATTTCTTCTTACTCTAACAATGATTAATCAGCATCAGCATCATACTGAGAAGTTCTAATACACATACTGAAATATTTTAAACCATGCTGGCAAAAGTCTGAATTGAGGGTGATTTGGAAAAATTGTTTAAAAACTACTAAAAAACCTAGTTAGGGAAACTGTTGCTTCTTTTCCTTCCATTTTAGAATAAATATAACTGTTTTACATATTTGAGTTGGGGAATGAATTTATATATGCCCTCAGGCAGATTATAGAAATGTTATACTTTAATATATTTCAGAGAATTTAGGAAATATGAATAAGAAAGTAATGTAAAAACAGATTGATAATTGTTGGTCATATTGTAACTTAGCCAGAAGTTTAAGATTGACATGAAGCTTGCTGTTCCAAATTATTTTGTTTTCACTGCAATAATTACTGAGCTAAATAGAAATGAGATAAAATCCAGTGCATTATCTGGTAAATACTACTTTCATTGTAATTTGCTTTAAAAGAAAATAAATGTATGTCCCTTTATAATGAAGACTAGGGATCTGGAGAAGTCAGAGTAGCCTCTGGGCTCATTATTTTAAATTGTTTTGGTCTCCACAGCTGTAGCGTATTTTTGCACTAAGTTTTGGATAATTGGATTGAAATGATCCTTTATGAAAAATATATGGTACACGCCATAATAGAATATTTTCAAACCCTAAAAGACCTCTTATGTTCTCTTTTAACTTACTAATAGAAACATAATGGGATGATCATTGACAAAGAAAATAAAGAGCCTAATAACAATTAAATAGAATTAGAATTTGAAGGGAAAGTGTTTTCTTGTTGTAAATCTTTATTAAAAGCAAGTAGTTAAAAGTCACATAGCAGGAAATATGGTTTAGTGCTCGTTTTTCTTTTAAACAAGGCTGAACATTCGTTCTGTAGACCTACAGTAATAGTTCTCAAGTGGGGGCAATTTGGCAGTGCAGTAGACATTTTTAGTTATCACACCTCGGGGTGGTGCCAGTGGGTAGAAGCCAGGGATGCTTCTGAACATGCTCTGTTGCTCAGGGTGTTTGGACACACACACACTCCCCACAAACAAGAATTATCAGACCAAATTGTCAATAAAATTGCTGTTGAAAATGCTGTCCTAGAGAAAGTGTAGAAGAATGTATTTTGCCAAGTATGTCTGATCCTAAAGATTACCTGAGGAAAGGGAAGGAAAGCTTGTTAAAAACAGAATCCAGGACCTAACCAGACCTATTGAATCATAACTCTAGGAAGAGGTCTGGAAATTTCTATTTTAAATTACTGCCCAGGGTAGTTTTTATGATCAAACAAGTTTAGAAATCCATAGGTACAAAGGACTGGACTCCCTACCCCTAGTTTAAGTCTTTTTTCTACTTTTTGAGATGTGACTTTGGGCATACTTACTACTTCTCTAATTTTTTAGATTTGATAAGGTGGGGCCAATAGTCCTTCAGTACCTGGCGGAGTGATTGCAAGGTTGAGGCACAGGATGTGGGAACAAGTACATTGCCAAATTTAGGGCAACATTTGAAAACTCAAGGCAGGTACAACAGCATCAACTGGGGTGTTTTTAATCCTGAGACCCCAATTCAGAGATTCTTATTAAGATACCTTCTCAGAAGAGTCCAGGGGCTTGCATTTTCCAAAGCACTTCTGGTAAATTTTAGACAAACTGGTTTAAACATTTAGGTTTAAAGAATGTTTGCTTTTACACTACTTAATTGATTATAACTGAACCTTTTTACCATAGGTTTTGGATAACTTAACTTGTGTCTTTCTGTCAGTATTTTTTTCCAGAGCACATGGTGTCTTTTGCAACTGAAACCAATGGTGAAATATCCCCCACACAGATTTTGCAGGTATAATATATTTTTATTTAATATGTAGAACATAATAAAGGGAAGCTTTGAGATCTTTTTTTATACATACACAGATTCTGAAATGTTATGCCTTGAATGATTAATTTTTTCTGGAGGTAAAGCTAAAAAAAAAAGAAAAGTAAAAGACTTTCAGCTCATAGCTACAAATATGAGATTAGATTTTGAAAAATCAAAATTCCAGTTGATTGCAGACATTTCACTGTTACCTGTGTTTACTTTTATACTAACTCTCTAAATCTTACATGTGATAAAATATTTAACAATTAAATGAAAGGAGAAAAGGGACATAAAATAAAAAAGAAGATGGGGCAATCTACTTCTGTAAAGATTTACCACCTCGGAAACCCAATGGGGGTCGCTATAAGTTGGAATGAACTACTTTTATGCTAACTCTCTAAATCCTATTTGTGGTAAAATATTTACCAACTAAATGAAGGGAAAAAAGGGATATATAATAATATCTATTTAATTAGTTTAATTTTGTTTAATTTAAAATCTGTAATAGCTTTGATTCAAATACTTGTGTAGAACTGTGAAAACTTCTTAGCTGAATTAATACTAGTTACCTAATTAATTATTTTAGTTTTGTATCAATTGGATTAATTTCTTCCAAACCAGCATTGGAATCAGGCAGTCGTTGCAATAAGAAAATGACTTCAGCTATTTTATTTTTGATAGTCAATTTCACATCAAAAGATCTGTGGGGGTTGTTAATAAGCTGAAGTTAAACAATGTCTTTATAGCGGTTGGTATTTGAACTAAGCCCTGGGCATCTGCAAACCCATTCAACATTCTCTAATCTTTAATGAAGAAAACTTTTAATATTTCTGCTATAGCTATGACTTTCAAAATACTGGGTAGGCATATCTATCACAGACTTGTTTTTTATGGACTTTTTAATAGGTTATATTTCATTTTAGCATATTAGAGTGGTTTAGAAATACGATTAGTTTCACAAGATTTTTCTAAAAGCTACTGGCTGTTCACAGAGAACACATAATAGAATATTAGGGTAGGTGGTCGTGGCAACAGTCCCCTGGCCCCCCAGGTTTCATCAGCCGTCTGCATACTTCAACCCTGTGTTATGAGAGTGGTGAGTTGGAGTTTTTCTTCCTACTCCTCCAAATTCTCCTATAATATACTGATATTACTTTCATGTTAAATTATGAAAAACCAGAAAAATCATAGGCTTTGGAATCAGATAGTCCTGCATATGCCCCTGACCTCTTCTCCACTGAGGCAATGTTTTCAATTTTTAAAAGATTTCTCTTCTTTCTAGTGTGACCTCTCCGACTTTCTTTTTAAAATTTAATTGGTTTGATTTAATAACTTGGAAAGCACTCAGACTAAAAAAACCTACCAGCCTGTTTTGCATGTCAATTAATTAAAATCTGTAGATCATTAAATTTAAAATTTTTTAGTAAATTCCAAAAAAAAAAGTTTATACCTACTACCAGCATTTCCCAGAGTAGCTTTTAAAATATGTTTTATTATTTTAGCTATAATTTGTGTTACTTTCAGTTTTTCCATTTTGCATTTGTTTATTCATAGGGATTTCTATTTTCTTCCTTTAATGAGACAGTAATGCATATCCATTGTCTCATTAAGCATGCTGAGCACAGCCACTGAGATAGAGCTGTTACTTTTCATTTTTGTTTTCCTAACCAGCCCATGCCCACTGTCTGAGTTCATTATTACTGTGTAACAAGCTATTCCAAAACTTAATGGCTTAAAACACCTACTCATATTTTATCAACAATTTTGTAGGTCAGGAATTCAGGAATGGTTTATTGGGCACATAAGCTCTGATGTACATGGACTTCATGGCTGTGAGAGTAGGACTTCCTTTCAAGAGATTCCTTTTTTGCTACATGGCTGCTGTCTTGGTGTTCCTTGGCCTCTTTCTCTGTACTACGTGGTTTTTCATCCTGCAGGGCATTTCCAGTTGACTTGAGCTTCTAATCCATGGAAGTCTAGGTAGTTACATTTCATAAGGGACAGCTGGCATCTAAGCGTCAGTAAGTGGAAGCCACCAGGCTGATTATGGGCTGCCTCTAGAACTGACAGTGTGTTACTTCCACCATATTCTTCTGGAGTAGTCACAAGCCTCACCTGATTCAAGTGGGTAGAGAAACAGATTCTACCTCTTTATCATTCAGTGGTAAGGTCTTTGCAGAAGAGCCTGTGGAATGGAAGATACTGTTACCGTTCTTATTGGATAATACAACTTGCCTTACCTATCCACAGCTGAGCACCAAAGAAGGCAAAGAAGAGATTCCTTTATTCTTATCGAGGAGGTGCACTTGGGTTAACTTTCTGCTGAACCATTGAAATTAGGGTTGTGGTTTTGGTTATTCCACAAACAAGCTCTTAGGTAAACCTGAAGTCTTAGGGGAAATCAAGGAAAAGGATGAAAAGACAGATGTTAACTCTACAGATGAGTTCCAACTTTTTGAGTAGATGTTCAAATAGCTTATAATTTCCATTGTTGTCTATATACTGATCACTTAGAAAGTGTATTTTGTGCATATATTTTCATTTGTAGTATGACTTAGATTTTCAAAAGATTCTATGATTTATTTTCTGTTTTATATATAGTGTCATTTCTCTAATGGTATAAGTGATATAAGGGCTGTTTGAATTTATATGTTCACATTTGAAATTTTAACATTATCATAGGCTACAATGTCCTTTATTTGATAACAATATCAAAATGTCTGGATTTTTCTTCCAGATGTTTCTGAGTTCAAGCACATATCCTGAAATCCATGGCTTCTTACATGCAAAAGAACAGGGAAAGAAGTCCTGGAAAAAGATTTACTTCCTTCTGAGAAGATCTGGTTTATATTTTTCTACTAAAGGAACATCAAAGGTGAGTTTATATATCAGTGATGTGTCTTGAATGACAGTTGTAAATTCAAATGAGTTTTACTTTGTTATAACTAAAATCTGATTACTTGATGTTAGGAATTTGTAACGTTTTTGAAATCCAAACATTTGCCACAATCTATTTCAAACCTAACCAGTGTTATTTCTCACTAGTTTCAACATACACCTTTGATGAAATCTGAATGCTGTTTTTACAGTACCACATACACTGTTCATTTCTTCTCAATGCTGAATTCATCCTCTTTTTCTTTTTATCCTAGGCCTGCAAATCTCCAAAGCCAAACCCAGTTCATACTTTTTTTTTTTTAAACCAGGTCTTACTGCTAGACTTGACAATATCCAAACTTCTGTTGATGTTGATGCAGTTATTAGCATCTGAGTCCTTCATGGTTCTTCAGTTCTTTCTTGTGTTTGTTTTATTTTCTTACCTGATTGTAAATTCCTACAAGAAGTTATGCTATGATTAGCGATGGATATGTGTATTTATCTGTGCATACATACCTACATACACAATTATGTAAATACACATATGCAGATGTACATAAACATATGCGTAATTGCATAAACACATATAATCTAGTCTATGTAGACTGTGCCATGTACTATTGACTTTTTATGCAATAATGCATTGATACATCTCAGGTAAAATACTTTTGAAAGTTTTCATGAGTGTTATTTTAATTCTATTTTCGTATACAGGTACCCCCAATTTAGCATGTATTCAACTTATGACAAACCTCTCTTGGAGTGTTTATATGTGTGTGTGTATACTCTCTCTCTCTTTCTCTCTCTCTGTATATAGCATCTTATTGTTAGTAATATATAATACATACAATGTTGCAGTTTACAATTTGCTTTTGGTATCATTCTCTATCAGTTTATATGTAATGCTTCCATACCCCCAAAGCAAATAAAGATTGGATTTATAAAGATATTGATAACAAAAGGCAATAATAATGTGAACTAAAAAAAGAGGTATTTTACTTACATCAGAATCAATTTACAACAGAGTCATGCAGACAGAACCCTGTCCTAAGTGGAGAACTCTCTCTATTTTTGTCAGTGACAACATTGTTGCTTCTTGACGGGTTCTATCATTCTTCTCTGTTACCCCCGCCTTCCCCCCAAATACTCATGTAACCCTTGGTGTTCAGCAGTTTCCCTATTATATTTCAAGATCTGTTAAAATACATAGTCTGCTAAATCTTGCTTGATTCTTCACATACACTTTCAATCTGTGATACTGGAAATGTTTGTCTATCATTTATTTGACTATTTCTTCTTCATTCTTGTTCTTTGATCCTTTACATTTTCAGTAGCATTTTCTATCTTATTCCATAGCTCTTAATTTTTCTTTCATATTTTCCATCTTTGAATTGTCTTCGTACAGCATTTTGAGTGCTTTCCGTAGTTCTATATTCCAATTTGTTAGTTCTCTTTTCAGCTGAATTAATTCTACTTTTCAAAGGATATTTTCAGTTCTTCTCCTAATAATTATATATTTTACTTCTAAGATGTCCAGTGGATTCTTTTCTATTTCTTTATGTTTTTAGTATCATTTTGTTCTCAATCTGATGATTTGTTATTTCTCTTTTCCCTGATTCCCTGATTATTTTTTTGAGTATTCTAAATATACTTTTCTTCACCCTAGTTACGATTATTGACTGAGTCTTCTGACTCTCATGGTGGTATTTCCTTACCTGCTTTATGAATTTTTGTTGAGCAATTTACTTATCCACAACATTCTTCTTTGTCGTATTAGTTCACATTATCTCAGTTAGGCTCCGTGGACTGCAGAGCTCAAGTCCTGTTCTTTCATAATGGGACCTACTTTTTTTTTTCAAATGTTTGATTAGCCTTAATTTTAACTCTGCCTTTCAAAACTATTGCAAAAAAATAATTAATTTTCTAACAATGTTTATTTGTTATATTAATGAATATATTTTCATTTTTTTCCCCTTAAGTTCAAAAGTTTAAGTCAAGTTTTTGAATAGTGAGTAATATATAGATAGAATGAGATAAGATTATTTCAGATGGAAGAAACTGTGACCAAAACTCAACCTTTTGGAAGGGAAAATGGCTGAAAAAGTAGGAAAAGACCACTGTTAAATAATTGGAATATATTTTGCTTGGGAAAGCCATTGAAATTTTTTGAGCAAGTGAGTGAAATGAACAAAAGAATGATTTAAGGGGATTAGTCTGGCCATAGGGCACTTAAAAAATCAAGGAGAGAATAAGGGAGAGAAAGAAAAAGAGTCGGGGAAAAGGGAGCAAAGGAGGCAGGATCGTAGGGGGAAAGAGAGAGAGGGTGTTGAGTAAATGATCATTTCAGTAACTCAGGTGGTAGGTGATGGGGACCTAATTTAGGATGAGCATTGAAGGAGGTAGAAAGACATGGATACAAGAGTAAATGTCCAATGGCCAGGTTTTGGTGACTGACTTGATAGGAAAGAAGAGTATGTAGTCAAACATGTTCTTAGAAAAAGAAAGAAAGATAATAAATGAATAGAAAAAAGCTGTAGTAGAATAAACAGGGGTAGGAGATTTTCCAGAAGGTTACTAAGAAGGAAGATAATTGCTCTTAGTCATAGATGTGTTGGGATCAATGGGAAGCACCCAAATGAAAATGCCTAGAACACAGTTAATGATGACGACCATATATTTGGGCAATATTCCAGGCAGAATTATGGAACTTCAAAGAAGTACTTGACTCTTCTCCAGATTTTTCCCTTGAAATTCATGTCTAATCTCTTCCTTTCCCTCATACATGGTTTTCCTTGATCACATTTCTTGTGTGCTTTTTGCTTGTTTGTTTTTCAGTTTTGGTGTGAGTGGTGGAACGCTGTGTGGAATGGGTTTCCATTAATAATATTTGACATTGTTCTACTGCCTACTATGCTATCATACGGATGCATTCAACTAACCTTTCTTGAACATTTAAACTTATTTTCAAATTTTTCTGTCATAAATAATGTTTGGATGAATATATACCTATTTTTCTATTAGGGTCTTAGACATTTTCTTAATTATTTCAAAGAGAGAGATCTTCTCCCAGGGTTCTTTCTTAGTGTACAGAATGACATATGAGAGTATTTTAAGCATATGCGTACTAGATCGACTTTTTTTTACTTTCAATGCCAAAGAAGTTTCTCAATCCAGTAATCATGTTTATCACACTATCATTTCTTCATTGGAAGAGATGATTATGGCTATTTAACTTTTAAATTCTTACTTCTCTAACAGCTTTTTCATTAAAACCCACTGCCCATTATGGTTTGTGTATGTGTGTGAGTGTGTATGTGTGATCCTTCACCTCCTTTCCCTCCCTGCCCATTATACAACCCAACCACGTTTCTTCTTTCAACGAGGTCCATTTGCTTATCTCTGCAATGGTCTCCCCCTTGATGAGGCAAAATAGGAAGCATGAAACCTCTATTCTTAGGCCAGACCTTAGCTCTCCTCAAGAACATGTCTGATTTTGCTGTCCATCAAGACATAATACTCTTCTCTCTAGCCTGTACCTGTTGTTGTTGTTATTTGCTGTCAAGTCGCCCCGACTCATAGCGACCCCTCCTTGGGTTTCCGAGGCAGTATCACTACGGAAGTAGGATTGCCCAACCTTCCTTCCGAGGAGTGGCTGGTGGGTTTGCACCGCCAGCCTTCTGGTTAGCAGTCAAGTGCCTTAGGCACTCTGCTACCAGAGCTCCTAGCAAACTTATATTCCATAGGCTATACATGGAAATGATTTTATATTCTCCCTCAAAGAAAAAAATTGAGAATATTAGATAGCTTCAGTGATTATTACCTTAGTACAAATTACATAGGTTACCCAGTATCTAATGTGATATTTGTAGACTATTTCCTCTCCTTTTTAAGGAGGTCTCAATTTATTTTCCTTTCTAAAGATGTATACTGCATAGGGTTACATAAGCACAGCTCTGAGCCTTGCGGGTATTGTTAGGACATACCAATGGAGAAACTTCGAAATATCTTTCTCTCCATCTTCACCTTTATGTTTACAGGCCCATGCTTAACTTTTGCTAACTATGCAACTCATCCTTGTAGTTATATAGTGCCATATGCCTTAATATGTCTGTAGTAATGGGACAAATTCAATTAAGAAAGGAAAATGATCATGCCTCTTTCTGCCTTCTGGTGTTTCTTAATCTGCCTTTTTCTCACATTTAAATGTTTCAGTTACATTGATTTCTGTGATATCAGTGGACAGGGATGGCTTTGTGCTATCTTCATAATGTCAAATGCTTGTTCACTAGAAAACCAGTTTCTATGAAGGATATATATATATATATATATATAAAGGGAAGTCTTGTAGTGTAATGCCTGAGGCACTTGACTGCTAACCAGAAGGCTAGCAGTTCAAACCCACCAGTCACTCCTCGGAAAAAAGATTGGGCAATCTACTTCCATAGTGATACTGCCTCGGAAACTCAGGGAGGGATTGCTGCGAGTTGGGGCCAACTCAACAAATCATTACAACAACAACATAGCAATAAAATATCTTTCTCCTTCATACTCCCTTATTCCAAGCATCCTATGCTGGATCTTTTAGAATAATTTTTGTTTTCTGCCTTATTTTCCTATGGAGTTGGGAACTACAGTTAGTCATGGAATCTAAGTGCCTAAGAATACTGACATACAGAGAAACTCTTGCTCTACCAATTATCAGAAATAGGTTCCAAATTAATAAACCAAACCCACTGCTATCAACTTCACCCTGACTCGTAGCATCCTGTAGGATACAGGAGAACTGCCCCATATGGTTCCCTAGGCTGTAAATACTTATGGAAGCAGACTGCCACATCTTTCTCCCATGGAGTGGCTGGTGGCTTTGAACTGCTGACCTCCCAGGTGGCAGCTGAGCATTTAACCCTGCACTACCAGGGCTCCTCAGAAATGGGATAGCTCCTGGTAAATAACAGGAATTTCTTTGGATTTGAATGGGGTTGTTCACATTGCTGAATATTGTGGATTTTTAGGGTACCACTTCTCAAAATGCAGATTCTGAGTCAGTGGGTTTGGGATAGGCCCCAAGATTCTGCATTTCTAACAAGCTCCCCAGATGATCCAGATATGACAGATTTGAGTTCACCCTTGAGTAGCAAGACTGTAAGGAACAGGTATACTTTGGCCAGTTTTTATTATCTTTCTACCCCAGAGTTAAGCATTTCTTCAAGTATTAGCCTATCAAATAATATAAGGATGATGTCCCATGACCAACTCTAAGTCTCCTGGATTTCCCAGAGAAAAAAACATAGTCATTCAGGATTAAACTTTACCTTGAAAAACAGACATATTCCATGGCCAAGTAGTTTCCCTAAGTCATTGTGATTAGAGTTTGTTCCTTTTGTGAAGGAGGAGAGTCATGCAGCCTATCTCAGTTCTCCCAGTGGCGTGTTCTTGAGAGGTGAGGGCCACATTGATGAGGAGTGTGCTGTGCTCATGAGGGGCATGGATGGGAAGGATGACCAGTTTGAACCAAGCAGAAATCGTCTCTCGTTCTCTTCCTTTCTTTTGTAAACTGCTCTGGAAGCTCAAACCAGCCTTCTTCCCTCTATTGAACTCCACAGTTTGAAACCTGGTTATGAAAATCATTTTGACATTCTCTGCTGTCTCTTTCTCAGAGTCCTTGGCATGGCAGTTAAAGAGAATACTTTTGAAATAGGAAGATGCTTTTTTTTTTTAACTACTCAAATTTAAATTACGAACAAAGTGCCACTTCCAAAATTAAATCAAATTGTATCTAGTTCCTGGTTATTTAAGGATATAGTGACCTAATTTTCCTTTGCTTTTGTTTCTGTATACTGAAGTTCTGTTTGGAATAATTTTTGCCCAAGGTATAAATTATGTGATATAATAGAAACACAAAAGAGAAAGTGTAAAAATATGTATTTATTTCAACACTCACTTTTTTTTTTTTTAAAGGAACCACGGCATTTGCAGTTTTTCAGCGAATTTGGCAATAGTGATATTTATGTGTCACTGGCAGGCAAAAAAAAACATGGAGCGCCAACTAACTATGGATTCTGCTTTAAGGTACAGGCTTAATATTTTGATAGATGAGTAAAGCAAGCCTCAGCCTTTTAGGTAAGCTTGGGTTTCTTTTCATTTGTTTTTAAAGGAGACAGTTTCCTCTTATATATAGGAGAATTTTAGTGGCTTTTATTTCAACAGGTGTTACCTTCAAGATATGCATTAACGATAAACAATGTGCTGTGGCCTTCTAGCCTAACAAAGCAGGAGGGCCCCGAGGCCTGAAAATGCTCTGTGCAGAGGAAGAGCAGAGTAGGACGTGCTGGGTGACCGCCATTAGATTGCTTAAGGTAATCTTGCCAGAGGCACAAATTTCCATTAACTGCTGGGAGTACCATAAAAGTTTGAACATATCTCTAATTCAAAACAAAAAACTCACTGAGTCTGTGAGGCTTTATGGGAAAGAAGAAAAATAGCTACCACCAAATATTTGTGTATTTTTTTTTAAATCTAAAAGATAAACATTTCCAGAGTAACCTAATGCATTTATCTTTTTTATGTGGAGTTAAGTATTACATTTCTAGAAATATAATGATTTTTATTTTTGTAAGAGTATTACAAATTGAGCAAGTATGGCTCATGGAAACTTCTGTACAGGATTTAGTCTGCATTTTTTAAATGTTGCCAACATTTCATTATGAGATATATTTTAAAATGGGCTTACCTGGAGGTATTTAATGCAATTGCTTTGTGTTTCACTTCAGTATTTTCTAAATTGCTTTCTAGTTTAACAATTGTAATTCAAACTATCATGCAGTTTTATTTTAGAAATATTTAAAAACATCTGTCTTTGCTTTAAGTAGAAATTACAACTTTCATAAGCATAATTTCTTAGTAAGCATTTGAAATGAGTAAGGCATTCTAAAACTAGACAGACTTAGGGAAGAGAGGCATTAGATATCATTGTTTCAGAATGTTATAGACAACATATTTATTGTTGAAACCTGTACACAGGTAAATTTAACACAACTTTAAACTTACAATTACAAAAATGATCAACCACTTCATTTGAAAATACTGCTTTTGTAGTCACAGTTTGGGAAAAAAGTGATGAAAACCCATCTTTTTCGTTGAAAACATACCATTCAAGGAATATGTCTCTCCACTAAAACTGGCCAGTACCATTGCTCCTAAAGTGTGAAAATTCCCTCAGTAAAGTACATAATGTTACTTTATTTATTATGTATAATTATTGCTAAAATGGCGAGGAGGCCCCATGTTCTGACCTCCTCTAACCCTACAAGAGGAAGACAGGATTACCAGCAGTAACCCAAGGCCTATTACTGCAAGGCCAGACATGCTGCCACCCTCCAGCCCTTTCTCCAACCGTTCCTCCCAAAGCACCCACCACCTCTCTCCTGGGTTCGATAATTCACTGCAGTGGCCACA